CTTCCTTCAAAAGTGAGCCGCGGAAGTCTCCAGAACGAGCGTTTTGTGCACATGGTCCTGGTAATAACGTGCTTTGGGGCAGACTGGGAGCTTCACTTCTTTAGGGTCTCTTTTGGTTTTGCTCCGGGCTTCGCTCTTTTACGGTTTCTCTTGGTTTGCCTTAGGGGCTTTGCTTCTGTAGGATGTTTTTGGGTTGGACTTAGGGCTTCAATGGAGAGGGGCTTAGGCCTTCACTTCTTTAGTTCTTTTGGGTTTTGCTTCAGGCTTCACTCCTTTAGGGTTTCATGTGGTTTGGCTTCCGGCTTTGCGTCTCTAGGATGTCTTTGGGTCGAATAAGCCTTTACTTCTTTGGGGTCTCTTTTGGTTTTGCTTCGGGCCTCGCTCCTTTAGGGTTTCTTTGGTCTTAGCTTAGGGCTTCACTTCTTGAGGATGTCTTTGGATTTGACTCAGGGCTTCACTTCTTGAGGATCTGTTTTTGTTTTGCTTAGGGTTTCGCTCCTTTAGGTTTTCTTTTGCTTCTTTAGGATGTTTTTGTGCTGGAATTAGGCCTTCACGTGAGGGCTCCTTTAGGATGTCTTGGGTTTCACTTAGGGCTTCACTTCTTTAGGGTCTCTGGTTGGTTGGGCTTAGGGCTTTGCTGCTTTAGGATGTCTTTCGTTTTCACTTAGGGCTTCACTTCTTTAGGGTCTCTGGTTGGTTGGGCTTAGGGCTTTGCTGCTTTAGGATGTCTTTCGTTTTCACTTAGGGCTTCACTTCTTTAGGATGTCTTTGGGTTTGACTCAGGGATTCACTTCTTTAGGGCCTGGTTTGGCTTTGCTTAGGGCTTCCCTCCATTAGGATGTCTTGGGTTTCACTTAGGGCTTCGCTTCTTTAGGGTTGCTGGCTGGTTTGCCATAGGACTTTGCTTTTTTAGGATGTCTTTGGTTGTGACTTAGAGCTTTACTTCTTGAGGGTCTCTTTTGGCCTGCCTTATCGCTTCACTTCTTTAGGATGTCTTTGGCACAAATTCAACAGCATCTCTTGCTCAACATTTTGTGTTTTGTGCACATGGTCGTGGTAATTACGTGCTTTGGCGAAGCTGGGTTTGGTTTTGCTCAGGGCTTTGCTCTTTTAGGTTTTCGTTTGGTTTGCCTTAGGGGCTTGCTTCTTTAAGATGTTTTTGGGTTGGCATTAGGGCTTCAGTGGAGAGGGGCTTAGGGCTTCACTTCTTTAGTCTTTTTTCTTTTGCTTCAGGCTTCACTCCTTTAGGGTTTCATGTGGTTTGGCTTCCGGCTTTGCGTCTCTAGGATGTCTTTGGGTCGAATAAGCCTTTACTTCTTTGGGGTCTCTTTTGGTTTTGCTTCGGGCCTCGCTCCTTTAGGGTTTCTTTGGTCTTAGCTTAGGGCTTCACTTCTTGAGGATGTCTTTGGATTTGACTCAGGGCTTCACTTCTTGAGGATCTGTTTTTTTGCTTAGGGTTTCGATCCTTTAGGTTTTCTTTTGCTTCTTTAGGATGTCTTTGGGTTGGACTTAGGCCTTCACTTCTTCAGGGGGGTTGGTTTGCCTTAGGGCTTTGCTCTTTAGGATGTCTTTCGGCTTCACTGAGGGCTTCAGTTCTTTAGGATGTCTGTGGGTTTGACTCAAGGCTTCACTTCTTTAGGGTTTGGTTTGGTTTTGCGTGAAAGATCTCAGTGTAGCGGTTTCAGCACTGTCAATTACACTTAGAACTAACATGAATCATGATGACACAGCATGAAAAAGCTATCATGCTGTAAAATGGTGGAAGTGCGTTTGGCATTCGGAAACGGTCATCCTTCTGATCCTTCTGGGGAACACGTCGTATTTCAAGACTATTTCAAGGAGCGTGGTCGACCCTTCAATAGCTTTTTGTTACTACTAGTAAGGCACCAGTTACTAGTAGCGATGCACTTGTTCCTAGTAGCTTCCTACCCACGTCCTTCCAAACAGGTCCTTCTGGCGAGTTCCCGCGGCCTCCGCCAGGAGTTCCGGAAAGGCCCAGGCCACCAGCACACACATGGCCTTGCGCCTCGTGCGTGCTGTGGGTTTTTGCAGTTTCAACCGAGAGAGATCGATCAAAAGGAGGGGTGGTTCGGGTTCTTCTTCACGGCATCAGAATAAGAACCATGGTCTCCAAGGTAGAAATGGAATTGCAACAGATTGCAACGATGATCTTCCTGGCAGTAGATGGAAGATGGAAGGCTTCCCTAGCTGACCCAGCTGCTCTACCACTGGACCTGTTGCAACTGCAGCTCGATTTTGCTCTCCCGGCAAACACCCCAAACACGGAAACTGCCAGAAGTGATTGGGGAGCTGGGGATAATAGATCGAGGTCACATCATGTCATCCCCGTTCTTCACGTAGTCACCGTAATTAATATCATCAACCAATTGTCATGCTGAACTGATAAGCCCAAAGTGACAAGTGCATAAGCCCCACAACCTTCTACAAGAAAGCATGTCATGCTGAAGAAGACCAATTCCCGTGCCAGGCCGAGTGTGTTCGTCCCTTTTCGACTACTCATGTTAACTCGTCCCTTTACACTTGCCACGCTACGTTTGAAAGCACTTCGCGGTCATTCCAAAGAGTGACTATACTAAACAGGTACAAAACACCAGCAAAGTGGCACTCGTTTAACATTTCACCATGACATGCAATGGCTCTTGTCAGAGCTTTAGCCCCTAGTGCTCCAACCATATCCTCAGGTGGTCAGACCCCCCCGGCACCCACCATAACCATCTTCTCAGAAGGTAGGCCAGGAGCCCTAGGGAGCAATCCTCCATCCGGATCCATCCGGCATGTATCACCTTGCTTACCTGATCGCCTCTCGATGCTTACCACGTCGCCTCTGCCCCTGGTCGACCCCTCTCCATTCCCTCGATTTGGCCGCCAAAACCTCGGGCCCCAACTCCCAGTCTCGTTGAGCCTTTCCAGCTTCGACCTATAGAAGAAGTGACGCGTAACTCAGAGCGCAGAAGCACCACAGGAGCACCAGATTCTTTTGGGATGGAAGAATCAGAAAATCCAGAAGTTGTGTAGGGTAGTCCAGTCAGGACACCCCGACAGGATGGTCCTGGTATCATAAATTACCATATATTTTTACTTCAACCGGTCAACCTTAGCTCACAACATGACTTACGATATGTAACGCAGTGTGTCGTAGTGTGTGTTCTCAAATGATCTCAAATGTCTCTAAACATATGAACAGGTTATTTGGAGCACTCACTCTTACACTGCCTGGAAACAATCCATGCAAGTGGAAGGGTTCGGCCCCTTAGAAAAAGCCTTTTCCTACAAGTGGAGCCTGCATTTGAGGGCTGGGAAGCGCTTGTCGTCCCTTTGACCGGCCCGGCGGCCCTCGGTCGTCGTGTCGGGATCCAATCGAGGTGTTGTGGATGTGAGCTGATGATGTATTGACTATATTTGGGGACCATAACATCTACAATGGCCGGGGCGATCCACAGCATGAAAAAGGTTGGAGGCCATATACAGTAGGTTGGAGGTTATGGCTATTAGGTTCCTTACTTGGGTGATTCACAACACTTCATCCTTCCAGGGGGTCGGCGACCAAGCGACGTGGACCTTGGATGATCCTTGGATGATCCTGTACGTTAGAACCAAAAAAGAATACGCACATGATGATCCATGTCTCAAGCCGAAAAAAGAACTCGTTGCCCCTCCCAAAGAAAATCACATGGTTTTCACTTCAAAAGGCCAGGAACCTTTCAATCCAAACGCTTGGATCAACAGCAGTCCTTCCAAGCACCCGTTTATCAAACTGCCATGTCGATTGGAGATTGACTGTGCGGTTACAGTACATCCTGCTTCAGGCTTCGCAGCGGTTTCGCAAGTCAAACTGGCACCCTCCATCTTTTCCTGAGACCTCATCATCATCCAAACATCTTGCTCAGCTCTTTCTCAGGCTGAAACTTGCACCTTGTTCCGTACCAACCCAATCCAAATCCGCACCCACGCACCCCGGCCCCGCCCGCCAACCAAGCGGCACCTGAAGCCATCCGCACCCCTCGAACCCCCCGGTGGCCGGCCTTCCGCAGCTTCGCCAAGGTCTGCAGCTGCTCCGAGGCCTTCGTCGCCCAAGGAATCCCAGGCGAGCCACTGTGCCCCATCGGTTTAACCCTTGAGCCACTTGGCTCGCCATGGATCACAGGTCCTTGAATCCTAAGCGGGCAAAAGGACATGGAGAGCAGGAATTGCATTTTTGGTGCTTATAGTGAGGCAAACTACCGTCAGGGGTATCTAAGACAAGCATCCGAACTTCGTGGTTGGAATAGTATGGAAGCGTATGACTGTTCCACGTGGTGGAAGTGAACTTGGTAACAAATGAATGGAATTGGAACTGCAGTGTATGGACCAACAATCCACGTGTGGAAAATTGCCCGAACCCTTAAAGCAACTTGAAACACTTTGAAACATTTTGAAACCATAAACCACCTCAACGCAAGTGAATGTTTCATACATGGGCTGTCAAGTTGTCTGGAAAAAACAACGCGTGTTGTCGAGCATTTCTTTAGGCTTCCTCTGGAAACCACGCTCCCTCCATATCCCCCTTCCGTGTCTTTCGCTGTGCTTCCCCTGGGATGTTGGGTCCCGTTGGGTCCCTGGTGCGTCCCTCGTGTCCTTCGCGTCGCGGACAACGGCGGCCCGGCACCTTCAAGACCCTGGCGCGAATGGTGTGCAGCACCTGCTGTTGTCGGACCGTGCGGGAGCCGAGCAGCGGAGCAGGAGCTGGGAGAGCAACTTCTTCTCGGGATGTATGAGAACTGCATCGGTACATACACAGAACAGCGTGCGAGATTTGATTGGAAAAAACTGAAAACAACCTCGTCATCCATAGAGTCAGGTCACCAAGACCTCTACATGCTTTGCTTCTCGACTTCTCTGAGAAGGAATGTGGGTGGCCTTCTCTGCGCAGCGGTCTAAGGCCTTTAACTTTAACTTTAACAACAACAACAACAACCACAACCACAACAACAACCACAACCACAACCACAACCACAACCACAACGACAACGACAACGACAACGACAACAACAACAACAACCACAACCACAACCACAACCACAATCACAATCACAACCACAACCACAACCACAACAACAACAACCACAACAACCACAACGACAACCACCACAACGACAACGACAACGAGTCCTACAGGAGGGGCTTGCATATCCCCCGATAGTCACAAAGACTATCAAAAGAATGGTCTGAGCAACCACTAGCGAACCTGTGATCATTGTTGTTTTGTTTGTTCCTGCTTCCCTGATTAGTTGGAGACCCTTTCGCTTTTTGGTTTGGCCTGCACTCTCCTGGGAGCTGCAAACTGCCTAGTGAATACAGGCCCATGCACGATCGCTTCCACCAGAGCCACCCCGAGCACTGAGCCCCCCGCAGTCGTCCCTCTAGCGTCTTGTAGCGCATCCATGCGAGCCTGGTGATGAGGCACGGGTGATCAGTCAAACAGTGAAAAAAACATCACGGACATCCTAAAAGTCCATAAGTCTATAAGTTCTAGCCACTGCAGTTGATGCTGGCACTGCATTTTTTCTGTAGTAAGTCCGGGAGATGTTCTACTCGCGTAGGCAGACATCATGACATGTGTTACTCACCTCACACCTCCAATCCAAAATGATATGTATCCCCACTTGCAGTACATGAGGAAAGCTATCCCCCTCAGATGTGGCTGACCCTGCTGGAAGCCTGAAAGTTTTGCCAAAGTTCATGGAGGGTGGGGACAAACATGCACCAGGTGAAGGAGCATGCGCACTTGTAGCTTCGTTTGGCCAACACGACTGGTAGCTTCTTTCTCCCCAAACCGACCAAACCGACATGACCAACGTCGGTTTGACCAAATGGTCGGTGACCAAACGCCACGGCCAAACCGACGTCGCCTTGCCACGGTCTTTGTGTCCGACAACGCTGGACACTCCACGGTCGGTGGCGATGCCCGACACGTCATGCCAAGAACTACTAGTCGCCTCGATTTACGCCAAATAAGGCCTCGCCAGACACGTCTTCATCCACATCTGGCGGGTCTACTGAATCATGACCCGCATCATGGCCGATTCCAAAACAGGAGTCCCACTAGAGAAGGGATCAAACCATGTATAGGTTGCGTCTATCCGTCTATCCTTTTAATTACTATTACCAGTAACAGTGGATGCAGGTTGGTTAAGGTTGTTCATTGTGATTTGCTATGATTTGCTTGTTTACTGACTGCTACAGGTAAGTGCGGACAAACCCAAATAATACCTGGATCTTCCAACTATGACAAATTAATGAAGTTTCATCCATAAAAACAAGCCAACAGGCAGACATTTGGCATAGTTGGAAGATTCAGGTATAGGTCCGTAGATATCCTGATCTTTAGATTCTTTCAGCCAGCAAACTTTGGAGCACCCACTCCCACACTCTACGCTTCTCTACACTTTACACATCCCCGCACACGGCCCAGACACTTGCGGCCTCCAGGTTCACGCCGTGCATCTGCCGCCCACCTCGCAGCACTTCCTTCTCTTCCAACAAGGCGGCCAAATCCTCAGCGCCGCCGACCAGGACCCCCCTGGGCGGGTCGGCCACGCGGCCGGGTTCTGACACGGGTGAAGGAGGGGAAGACGAAAGGAGGCGAAATGACATCATGATGGTGAAGTATTGAGTTTAGTCTCCGTATGTTAGTGAAGACCTGGTGAAGTTATTGGGTTTAGTATGTTTAGTTCTCCGTGTCAAAAGAAACCTGACTGAACATGTGAACTGAACATGAGCCCTCGCCAAGTCCATCTGCAGCTCCATTTCTGGCGTAGGGAGTAGGGACATTCGCCCTTCGCCCAGCAGTGAGACATGAATAGTGAGACATTCGCAATATCAACAAAGGCGCAAGTGCAGCATTGGCAAATGCACCATCTTAGAAGGAAAAGCCTGAGGAATCTCCTCCATCTTAGAGGCGAAAACGATTCAACTCAAAGGCCACAAAAAGTAGAATGGGAGCCTTCTGGACAACGTATGTCCCTTGATTCATCCCGACAAATCGGACAATATATAACTTGGACAATAGGATTCTCACTTGGGGCGTGCGCAGAAGCATCAAACATAAATAATAATCATAATTACTGAACAGTTCGTTGTTGGATTGTTTTGCCACACCCTAAGGAGCTTCATGAAGCTTAAATCCGACTCTCAATTCCCGTCACACGCCTTCGTGGGATGGCGCAGGTCTGCCGCCCGCTCCACCAGCGCCTCGATCCCTCCGCCGAAGCACTGTCATCCGGGTGTCTGCCTGAGCACCTTCGATGTCGGCGTTCTGCAGGGAGTTGCTCTGCGGACGATTGCCTGCGGGTATTGTGCGGTTTTGGGAATTTTCTCACCACCCGACTCAGAAGTAGACCCATGGTCGCTTGGATTTGGTGTTTTTCCTCAACAAACATTTTGCCCTCTTCCACTTTCATGAGAGAATAGGAGGAACACAACACTACCCCACTAACAGGGACTATGACAACTTTGAAGTCAGCAAACCTGGTGGAGGAAACCTTTCTAGGGAAAACGTGGGGTGTGCGCTCCCTCATGTACAATTGGACCCTCCAAAACTGTACCAGTATTGCAAAATTAGGTTGTTGGTGTCTGCAGTCAATCCGCAAACCCAAAAAACGGACACCCAAAAATGCTGCCCAAATGGGGTTGTATATGCATATATAAGCGCGACAAACTTCAGTTGTCTCTGCTGCATGTCTTTGGGTCCTTCATGTTTTTTTTTTGTGTGTGAAGTTCTTGGTCGAGACTGAAATTAAGTTGTTAGTTGCGGCCTCGGGAAAGCATGACATCGATTCTTCCAAAAGTAAAGCAAATATCCATTTATGCAGTTGTCCCAAGCTATAGTCATTGCCCACCAGCACCAGCAAATCATTTGGAGGAAGAAACAATCACTTTCGGACGAACACAGGGTCCGAAACAATGGACAGGCTTGGAACACATATTGGAAGATAAAATACGACTTCCACACCAGGGTGGTTGCTACAGGAACCTGACAAAGTCATCCCTTTGTCATAGTCACCCCTTGCCACTATTTCAATGCCAAATCACCACGGCAACACTGTTTCGACATTGTCTTTTGCCTGTATTGCCATGTTGACGTGTTCCCGAATATGTCCGACATGTCCCGAGGCGACCTGACGACCGATGCATGTGACGTCATGAAACCTGTCGTCTACGACCTCCAGGTCGCTCGTCAAAACGGCGGGTCCGGACCCGCCGACTCTCGGGTGAGTGACGGGACTCATTTGGTCCAAAGTCGAACCAAAAGCACCGCATGGATCATTTTGTTGAGTACATGTTGTGCCTCACAAAGTGTTATTACATAACTATTACTGTATACGATATTGTAATTTATAAGCATGAAACCGTCCAAACAATAACCCCTCCAAAAGTATCCAAACGTACCGATTGCTGTAGTTAACTTAACATCTGCCAAACTTCAAGTATCTAAGTATTTATCCACAGCAAATTTCAAAGTGTGGCACGCACTTTATGTTTGTCCTTTTCAAAGGCTTCAAAGAACCCCAACTGCCAGCCACACGTTGCAGCGTTGCAACGGACGACAGCCTGGTGGGCCATACAAGTGCACTGGCAGTACTCCGACGCGCCGTCGAGGCTGGGCGCCAGGGACATCCTCCGTGCAAAGGTTGAACTGCGGCTCTCCTGAGCATCTGAGCACTGTGACGATGGCGAAAACCTTCGCCAGTACGCGATCTCTTCTGGTGGTGATTGGAAGACTTACTGCACAGCCTATAAAATTTGACACTCAGTGGATCTTGGCATTGCAGCTTTTTGCGCCATGCAAATACCTAGTATCTAAAATGTTTGATCGTTCAAACCTGACAAACTCAAGACTCCCTCATGCCAGGCAAATCCTCGGTCACGTGGGGCGTCCGTAAACATGCCGACAAAGAGTCGGCAGAGTTCCAACGATTGGTTCCCAACAATCCATGTATGATCCGTCTATGTATACCCTAGGGGTTTTGGCGGTACAAACCCCTGTTATAGAGGGTTCGACCCATTCTATGGAGGGTCCAAAGGTCCTTCGGGTATGGAAATTGACCTATGACCCTTAAAACCAGTTTTCAAGCCACCTTGACCTGTGAATACGTCATACATGGATGAATATGGGGGTTTCACCTTTTGAGGGGCTTTGACCACCTGCATTGCCTTCGCCTTCGCCGATGCCACACTCATTTTGATCCTCCTCCGATGGCGATGAAAAATCAAACAGTCCGGTCACTCGCGGCGAGTGGTCCACCTTCCATGTTTGTAGGGAGGGTTTTGTGTACAGTAATGACATTGAATTATATAAATCAAGTTATTGGATGGCTCCTGAGGTTGAGCTGCAGGCGTCAACAACAACGTAGGGAGCGGGAGCCCACACTCTGACATTGGTTTGCTGTTAACTCAATTCCCACGTTGAGAAGGAAGGTGAGGGAACGGCATGGCGAAACGGTCGGCAAGAACTGTATGGTTGAACAATGTTTGCACTCTGACAGTCAGTGTGGTTGCAAGTCAGCTGCAAGTCTCCGGTGAGAAAAGGTTTTGGGGTCTATCGTGCAAGGACCATGGAAACAAACCGTGGAAGAGTGGAGTAACAGCGTGTGAACAACTCAGCAGGTACGTCGATTTGGCGTCCCAAATCGATATCACCAGCACGCATCCAGTGTCTTCGTTGGTGCAAGACTGGATGGGCTGCTTGCACCCCCTGCTTGTGAAATGGACCAGGGAAGTAAAACCACATCCTTTGGAACAGGGGTTGACAAACACACACACACCAAGTGCACCGATCATTTCACGGTCGGGCCGCCGGACCAGTGCAGTCCCCGAAGCACCGAGCAGGGAAAGCAGCCTCCCTCCGAAAGCACCGCAAACAGCAGATGTGAGGGCAAACCGTGTCCCAAGTCTCCTTACAGTAGTCGGTCCGTGTCGTGCCGTCTCCTGCTTGTATTAGAGCTTTGGAATTCTATGAATCATGCAAAGCGGAGAGAAAAAAAATGATAAAACCACTTGTGCCTGTGGCCTCCTCACCAGCACCACCCCCAGCAGCACCACGGTTTTCTCTCAAGTCTCAAGTGCCGCAGGGGGAACGAGTTGGTGTCGCGTTTTGCAGGCGAGCATCCATTGTCTCGGATCTCTGTTTTAGGTTTGCTGCCATCTATGAAGCCCACTTCTTCGCACTGCGTGGGGGGCGGGTGGTCTCCCAGATCATGCCTCTCGCATTGAAAGCGGACGTGCATGGAGGTCCCTGCTTCAGCCACCGGCAAATGGTACCTCAGGCACCAGGATCTGTCCGGTAACGGCAGAACACAACCACACTTCATCGATCCAATGTGATCCCCTAGGGATCCAAGTACCTTCTCAGAAGGTGATGTGTTCGACACTGTTGTGTAGGTTTGGAGGGTCCAGTCGTACTAAACCCGAGAAATCACTTGGACCCTTCGGGATCTATGGCGACGCCTGGGTGGACACTGTTCCGTGTGCCCCGGGTGGTTGGAGTTCGCTGGGTCGCGGGTAAAGGCGGACCTTCTGTGCTTGGCGCGTTCAGTGGATCACAGTTCGAGCGACCACTATTCGAAGAAGAACTTCTGGGTCGTTCACTAAAAAGGAGTTTAACTTTTATTTTTTAAATGTGTCTTGCGTGTCTTGAGGCCGAGGTACCATGCAGGATCACAGCCAAAGGGTAGCCTAACTTAACATGACACGAACTGTTTCATCTTTTTCCTGGACTGGGGGAAGTTCCAATTGTCAGATGCACTTCCCCAGCTGATAGAGTGGCCAGCACGCACTCTTCCCACCCAAACCAGCCTACAGCTGTAAGCATCGCTTATACAGTAAATGAAATGCCATTTGCCCCCCCCGGGTCCATCCCCTGCACCACCCAGCAAGCTAAACACATCCAAGTACTATCAGTACTTGTACTCCAAAAGACCAAATGACACCATCCTCCAGTCTTGCGCACCATTTTTTTGAAACCCGCACCCCAGGCATCCCATGCGATTTTTTTCTCAAACAGCTTCCTGCCTTGGGCTCAATGGATGCCCTTGCCGCTGTCCAACCTTCAATGGATTCACCTCCCAGCGCTCCAGCCCTGCGCGCTCAGAGGCGCGCGGGCCGCGCGCGGAGAGGCTGCCAGTGTTCAGCAGGCTGGCAGAGGCGGCGGCCAGAACTGAGTGGTGACGAGGGTTCCGGAACCTGGGCAGAGTTCAGAGTGTCATGCATGGATGTGCATGAGTGGCTAGATTATGTAAGTGGATGTTAGTGGTACAATGCATGATTGTACAGTGAAGATCTGGATCATGGAATTGCCGGGTTTCCAAGCGCCGAGGTTGCAAACTGGAGGGGTCTTCTTGCGTAGAGCAAGTTGACACTGAAAATCATTGAATGGACGACAGGGTACCACCGAGTCCCATCAATCAACATGCTCCGCAAATACTCCACACCAAAGGCTCACTCTATGAATCCTGCCACGTTGAAGAACCAGCATGCATGGTTGAATTGTGAGGAATAGAAGTTCACAGCTGAGGAATTCTGTTACCAGGTCCATTTTGTTTACAAGCATTTACCAGCATAGTAACAAGACCTGCAGTAATGGACACAAGCTCGACTTGACAGACCGGGCGAGGTTGCCTTGACCACAACAAACCCAAATGAAGTTGACACTCCAACTCACGTCCCACGGAAGCTGAACACATCTCCTGAACACGTATGACGAACAGCTGGTGAACTCCACTTCCGTCAGAGTATGTCTGGGACCAAGCTTGCCGATGTGTTTCACTTAGCCTATATCAATCCGCCTCCATGTTCCATGCTCAATCCACTTCCATGTTCCACTTCTCATGTGGAGAAACTCGTCCTCAATCTTCATGGGATCTTGCGGGACGCTCTTCGCCTCATCTGCTCGTGACAGGACAGCTCAGAATGCTCGACTGGGGAACTGTTGATGCAAATTCCAGGACTCCCACTGCTAAACGAGCCATCTGAATGTTGACCCACAGTGACGTACACAGATTGTTAGAACTGAACCCCCACCTTGACAGAGCACGTCAGTATCTGTTTTTGTTGGTTTATGCCGACTACACCAATTATATACTTGAAACTACATTGCACCAATCATGGAAGTGGATGGCAGCCAGAAGGATTACCATGTTCTGCAAAGAGGTCCACCTTCTCCACCACCACGATACAAAAACCAAGCCAAGAATGGATAGAAATGATTTTTGGAATGGAACTTTTGGCTTGTAAATATTGATATCTCTTTACATCTCTTTACACCCTGATTACCCGTACTGGAACGATGTGCTCATGTGTTAATCCTCAGAACTTAGGTCTCCAACTGTTCGATCCATACCCTATTATAGCTACGCTACACTCTGACTCACTAACATGGAAGTGGAAAGCCCCCTGTCGGTAGACGATGGTAGACGAGGAAAGTAGTGTTCCAAGGAACCATTGTCCACTTCCATGTTAGTGAGTCAAAGGGTAAGTCGAACATGGAACCTGGTGACTTGCTTGGGATCAATGGTCATCCAGCTCAGCCACCCCTGCCAACCATCCCTCTATCCATGGAGCCGGCAGTGGATGAGGCCACGTCCCCTCAATGTCCGAGCAGTCCATTGCACAGCGCCCTGGTAGCATCAATGGATCACAGGGCGGTACATGCCTGTAAATACAATTCAACGGCCTAAACATTCGGAGTACCCGATTGACTGTAAATGTCCAATAGTCGGGGAGGTATGGCCACAGTGGTTGAACATTGGAGTATTCAATTTAAACACCCCAAATCCTTCAACTACTAATGCAGACCACCCTGAGACTTCGATGAATTGCTATATTGTTTTGTTTGGATTTATTCGGATTAATAGACCTTCTTCACACGGCTATATAGTTATGTTAATCAAGAGTCTACATTGCAAAACAAACGTTGATCATGATTGATCCTACATGATTCCACAAACCCTGGCCACCCCTGCCCCCCCCACCAAAACACCCTGTTTTCACCATGTTTCACCTATACTGGGGAGGTCGCTCGACTCAATTCTTCCTCCAAAAAGCACCTGGCCACCATTTGTTCACCTCGAAACTCCCGGAGCGAGACCGAAACCCGCACGTTCGCGGCGCGCTCTTCAGCCCAGCCCAGCCGCCTGTGGTGCGGAAGTCCGGCTGCACAGGAACCTCTGAAGAGGTGAACTGGTAGCTGTTCGTCCTGAGGGAGCCCGAACGACTCCAGGTGCCGACCCCCCCGACTCGCGGACCCACCGGGTCAAAACGACCGAACGAGAGAGGGGCGACGTGGGGTCTGACCGTTCGGCCGGGGCGACGTGGGTGGAGCGTTGGGGGCGAGGTTTTGGGTTTGCATGCAGAAATGTTCAGTGTCAATACCCTTGGATTGGGGGAACCGGTTCTTGGAATGCTGGAAGCTAGCAGCTAGAAGCGCGATGTGCTTTTCACCAGCCAGAACACAAAGGGCTTGATGGATGCCTTAATTAATTAAGAACATGAACCCCGAAAATCTCGAATGCAAATCAATCACATCTGCTTAGTCTACTTGCTCAGTGTTGGTATACATGCGTTTATACTTGGGTGTTAATCTGGTGGCTCTGCTTTCGGCTTTCCGTGTGCTTGCTCGCTCGTTCGAGCCCAAGCCCTCCCCAGCCCCACTCCCTGATGCCGGAACGAGCGTCAAGAGGTCCACGATGCAGTTGGACCGGCGACGTTCACTGACGATGGGCTTCTTGGGTTGAGCGTAGTCGATGTCCGAGGTCTTCAACGACAAGTCTCCTAGGAGCCCAGGAGCGCCCCGAGCCGCGTGGACCCAAGCCGAGGAGGGCGTTCCACACCCGAGTTCCGCTGCGAGCTGGAGGAATGGTTGGGTATAGGTTGGGTAAAGGGTACCCAAACACCCAGGGTCCAGTGGATGATGGTTCAATTGCAGGCTTGTTCATCTCTAAAATATTGATTTGCTTGTGAAACCCGACTGTTGTAGGTAGTGGGACAAACCCAAGGTATATATAGGTATCATTAGATATCAGCATGTTTCAGCTATAGATCGTTGAAGGAAGCCCTCAGCTATAGATTGTTACTAGTAGCGATGCACTTGCTACTAGTAGCTAATTCCATGTATGCCTTCGTCTACCGCCCTGGCACCACCCCGATCGCCAGTCCGCAGTCCCAGACGTGTCCAGCCCAGCTCGTCCCGCTGACTCCAAAGGACTCACCGGGTGAACATCTTCCCCTGTGACGAACTGAGGAACCCAACGACGAGCGTCCGAACTCCTCAAACATCACCGAAGCATCCTTCCAAGTGAAAATAGTGAAATCCAGACCGTTTCGAGGGATTCCAACTCTGTTTCATCTTGCGAACTAATAGGCCAAAACATGCCAAAGCCAATTGCTTGGGGTTCCCATCGCTTTGAAGCGCCATTCCTTGGCACCGGACGCCGCACGGCGCACGCGCAGAAGACCACTGCCAAGCTTCGTGGTCGACGCTTCACTGGAGGATACAGCGGGTTGGAACGGCTCTTGGGCACCTCTTCCTTGTGGCGGTCGAATGTGTCGGAACGGCGTCATGGACGGCGTCGCGGCGTCAACGTTGCGGAAGAACCCGAGTGATTGACTCGCCTTCCGCCCTCGCCTCCGAGTGAAAAGAGGTGAAAAGTATATGGGGTGAACAGGGAATGGGGTGAGAAGACTCCATGTGAGAGCCTCTCATGGTGTGGAAGGATGGCGTGAAGAACCGGTGTTGTGTCACACACTCACGGTGCGGACTTTTTGTTCGGCGTCCGGACGTCTGGGCACGGCGCTCCGAATTGGGCGTCTGGACGTCGGGTCGAGCTCCCCACCCCTGTCACCTGCACCGCCCAGCGTCCAGCGGAGGTTTCTGCACGTCTTTCCAGGGGATCGGTGCTCCCGTGAAGCTGGTGGGATGTGACAATAAGGGCTGCGCTCGGTCTAAGTCCTCCGTCAGCAGCGAGCGGTCGTAGTCCTGCGTCCGGCGACGGCCGGGGACAACGAGCGCTGGAGAGCGTCAGGGCCGCCGACCTCGTGGATTGGAATTGAAATGGTATCTCAAAACCTCTCAGTGTCTTTGTTTGTTTTGCGTTGGAGATGACCGCTTCTTTTTGATGTGGTGTTATTTGATTATATTTGATGGTTATGGCTTTCCCACACTAGTCACGAGTGAAGAGCTCCTTTGTGTCTTCTTTCTTTGACCAATGAGCTGGTGGTTCGCGTATCCATAAACATGTGTACCATCATCTTGAGAGAAAAATTCTGAACCTCTGTTAGTGGCCTGAAGATGTAAGTAAAATTCATAACCCCCTATTTTTCCAGGTGAGAGGCTTTCTCGTTTTTTGACGTTCGTCTCTATATATAGGGCACATGTGTTTTCGGAGTACCTTCCCCTCAATGGACACCAACCAGGGGACTGGACTCTTCACCGGATCAGTGTGGGGTTGGTGGGGATCCCAACCTCTACGCCGTCTACGCCAGTCCGTCCACTCCTTCCCATCGGCTCGTTCCTGGGTTCTGGGATCCGGAGCGAGTTCTGGACCGAGTTCGCAAAACGGTTGGGATGGGTAAACATGAAGTCCCAAACACTGTATATTGTACTGTATCTCCTGACCACACTCCATGGGACTGCCAACTGCCATTTTTTATGCCTCATGCCTTGACACCCAATGTATACACCCCAATTGATCGGCATAGCCTTAGGCAGTCCCATGGGTCGTGTCTGGGTATTATACCAACATGGAGTATTTATGATGAAACCTACAGGCGTCCACCCGATTCCAAGAAAGCCTCAGTGATCGGGTTTCTTGGGTCATCCGTCACACTAACAATGAACACCTGCCACCATGTCCGACCATGTCCACGTCCACAGGACATGCACAGGACTCCACCATGTCCTTGTGGAATTGAAGTGGCCCTGGTGGCACATCAAGCTTGCTGATGACATCCAAAGCCATCCCTTCATGTCGGGCAGGACATCTGGCATTCTCATCCCGGGCGTAGGGGCAGCCTGCATGGCATCGCTCAATACATTGCCAAGGAGCTACAGCAGCCCTGCGTTGCTTGGTTGCTTATAGTGGGTTGATATGGGTTGATAGTAGATGGCACAATACCCCAATATGGACACCCAACCCAAAAGACATCTTGGAGGTTGTGCCATCTCCTCTGAAACCAATGTACGAATAGTTGAATCTAAACAAGTCTCGTCTCGCTGATTGACTACAATCGCAGTGTTCAAGAATCTTTTGGGTCTATGTCTGTCCACATATAGAACCAAGTCCTGGAGGTTTAGCAGAATTATAGTCGCAGGAATAGCATGGAATATCCTTCTTTATGAATAGGATGACAAACCTTGGGACTCTATGAAATGCCGAACCACTTTGAAATACATAGAACGAGGTGACCAACCTTGAACAGCAAAGTCACGTGAGTCTATGAAATTCCCAATATAAAGTTCTATGTGTGGATAAAGCTGGAACATATTCTTATTCTTTGTGAAATTACAATCCCACTGACCTTCGGCAGTATTAGTGTGGACATGTGTGGACATATTTTGTGTATTTGTGCGATGTTGTGGGATGTTTGGGAAATCCGTGTTGATGATTTGAGTGTGGGTAGGATTCTCCACTATCATCTACTGGCTCACTCTTCCTCTTGCATCTTCGGTTCAACCTGGTTCTGGCATTTGGGATCTAGGCCTTTCAACGCTTTGGATGCTTTTGGGAGGATGTACGGATAGAAGTGGGTCGGCGTTGGGAGGTGGATCGATGAGAGGTGATCGTCAGCTTCGAAATGACAACAGCTTTTGCAACACAATTCCTGCAACACATCCTTAGAATGTGCCGCGCAGTGCATTTTACTTGCATAGAATTATAGATATAGAGATATATACATGACGATTCCACTTCTATAACCAACATGCTCAAGCTAGGCCAAATGAGCTTCTCTATTAATTGGCATGAAATCGATGTCTTATCTTGCATGACGTGACGGATGACCATGGCTTGAACACGACCACCTCTACTACAGACTACCATGGCTTGGGCAATTTTCATGACCCTCACGATCAGGCTGAAGGGTCTATTACTGGCGATGGAGAAGGGGCTTGGCATTTAATGTCCAACCTCTGAGGCGATGGAGAAAGGCCACGCACCTTTACGTTAAACGTGCGCCTTTAGCACAAAACCTAGACACTCCATGAAACTGCGATAGGACTGCCTATCAATTGACCCCGCTTTCACCACCCCAATTGATCGGCAGTCCTATGGCAGTCCCATGTGTCGTGCTTGGATGTGTTTGGGATGGTTCGTCCAAGCCTCAGTCACGGCCTCTGAGGTCGTCAGTTCGTCTCTTTTACAGTCGACTCCCTGAGGTTTCCTGAGGTTCGACTCGACTCGACTGAGAGACTTCCACCCAGCTAAGAAACCGACCAAACAACCAGCACATGGTTCGGTTCATGACGCGAACACCTCAGGTTCGGGCCCACTGATGTTGTTTCTTTCAGTGGAATTTCGCGACATCCACGATATCCACCATCCAATATGCCCCGATGTTCAGCATTTTTCGGCATTCCTCCTCGGGGTCATCGGGGTCATGATCCGATCCAGCACGGAATCCTCCCCACTTCCAAACATCAAGCAGCATGAAACATTCTCCAACCACTCCCAGTTCGACCCCCTGGAAGCAGGGAAATAGACCAAAGCTGGGTCAAAGGGGGTCTCCCTAATTACTAAGATACTAAATGTCATTCAATCTTCCGGTCCCTGAAGGGCCCCTTCCGGTCCCTTCCGGTACCCTTTGGTCATAGACCTCCCCACCTTTTTCCATCTCCTTCTTCGTCATCTCAGAAATCTTCGGCCGCCCACCAGCCCCCACCGTGGGGATCTCCTTCGGCGGGGTGTCGCCCCGTGAGAGGCCGCCCAAATAGACGCTGCCATGCTTCATCACGCAGGAATGCTTGGCTTAGGCGAGTTCACGTGCTGCAAAGCGGTGGGTGAAGGCGTGGAGGCTGTGAAAGTGGCTATAGTATAGTTGAGTAAGTATAGTACTGTTAGATACTAGAGTTTAAAATTGTTTGAAATGAGCATGTGTGACAAAAGCCTGGTAGCTTTGAAGGGTCAAACTTCATGGATTTGACGTTCCCAGCTCTTTGACCTGACATCGACCGTGAGAGAAGCAGTTACATGCAGTTACGACGGTCACCATTGTCTCCTGGCCCAAAGCTTGATCTCATGAAAAGAGAGGCCTTGAGGTAGGGACCCACGTACTGATCCTGAGGCCTTATCCTGAGCCATTCAGTCTTGACGCTTCCACCGCAGTGGTGTTTTTCCTGCGGCCACGTCCCAGAATTCATATTCTCCAGCCATCCACAAGTTTGAACTGGACGACGCCCTGACCACGCGATCGGTCCTTTTCTGTCGGGTGAAGGTACGCGTGGCGTTGCTCCACCATGCTTCCATAAACTCAACTCGACTCTTTCAAAAGAGCGGTGACAACTCTCAGCAACGCAAAAGCGTTGCCGACCAAGATCACAAGATCAATATGCTTAAAAGTGGTCGGATCTCTGTTCCGTAGAACAGCAATCGACTCAAACAATAGGCAAACGATTGGAAAAAGAAAAAACAAAATGGATCCTTGTTGAAACACTGTTTTCAATAGTTTCAACTCTACATCAAGAAAACATCGTGTGAGTATCCTGGCAAGCGCGGCTCGCTCACCAGATCAAAAAAAGTGACAATCTTGCTGCCGATTTTGCTTGCAAAAATGGAAATCCACCAGGAAGTCCCCTTGGGAGCCTTGCAGTTGATCTTTGACAATGACACGGGAGGCAACCTCTTCTTCCATACCATACTGAACCTCTTCTTGCCTGAAAAGCCCACCTAAATATCCTACCACCACAATATTCGATATCGAAAAGTGGACTCTAATGAGTTGGTTCAGGATCCATGAAGCATTTCCAAAAAACAACACTCCATGTACTACTCCATGTATGGAATATGTTATACCATGTTATACCTACATGGACCCCTTTCAACCCTTTCAACCACCCTAAGGAGTGTTTAGGTTCGGTCTTTGGACTGCCCCCAAGCCGTTTGCTTTCGGACAAAACGCGTTTCGGTTGACCTGGTTCTTCCAACGCAAAAAAACAACTGCGGAAAGACCATGCGCACTCCTCGGAAAGGGGTTCATTGATGTGACAGGTTCTATCGGACATTGTAGGTGATGCTGGTGATGCTGGTGACTCAAATGATTCCCATCCTGCAGGCCCCGAATGACCTAAGCCAGCACGCAGGGGCCGAATGTAATCAGCAGTTTGAGACAGTGCCCCGACGCCAGAGCTAGAATGGACAGCGGAGAATTTACGTCGTAATGGGTCTCAGTTTTAGGACCCCGACGATCTCTGTTTACTTCATTTTCTTCGATTTGATTTCGTTCGACCAAAGGGTCGCTCTGAGCACCACATCTTCTGGGTCGCTAGGTGGTCATCCCCCAAAAGCAAAACACCACGACTTCCGGCCGTTCATTCCTTGAGATCTGATCCGGGTGTTTGTTTCCTTCTGGAGCGACCCTCCGGTCCAGTGAAGGACGCCTTCCACACCCCACTTGCGAAGTAACAAACATTCAGGAGGCGTGGAGACCTCAGCTGGAGACCCATCATCAACATTGCATCGGAGGAACGATTCGCATCGATTCGCAACAAATGGAGCAACCAAAAGTGGGTGGTGTTGACAAAAAGCTTTGACAAGCTCTAACGTCCAACATATATGTCTTATAAGAGACACATTTGATCATATGTGCTATGTGTTCCCTTCTTGGTTGGCTTTGAACTCCAAGGGTCTCAGTCTCTCCATCCCACAACCATGATATCTCTACCCAGATCATCGGACAAAAGCGTTTGTGATTTGACATGGGGATCAACTAAATGCATCTCAATGCGTCTTGTGCCTCGTGGCCTCTTGAAAAAAACACAACTTTTTCGGGCTAAAAAACCGACCTCTTTCCATCTCGACCTCCTCTAGGCCCCTGGGTCTCCCTGCTGCACCAGGTTGCGAGGTGTCCCTCGTCCCTCATGCAGCAAAGTCCACGCCTTCGATTTTGTCCTCGCACTCCTCGAGTGAGGACGGATCTGAAGGACCATGTTGGTCTTGAAAGAAAGCACTTAAAACAAGTGAACACCTTACTAAGTAAACCTTGCTGGCATATCATATTTGTTGGGGCAACATGTGTAATTGTGTACCATCACACGGGTTTATCTATAGTTCTATAATGTTCTATATAACATCCTCATTGGGATAATGATATCCTACTCATACTCACTGCAACCGCAAACAATGATGGTACATCATAAATGCTTATCACGTGTTATCACGTTTTAGATATTGTATAAAATCTAAGACAATACGTAAACCCTATGCATCTTTGCTGAAAAGCGACCATTTTTTTTTTGCTGTGTTGTTGTTTGATGATGCACCACAGAAGCCCCAACCAACGGCCGGCCCGCTGGGCCGAAGCTTGACGCTTGACCCCGTCCGGGCTGTCGGACAACGAAGGAGCCGGTTTAGGAGGGGCTTATGGGGAAACTTCAAGAACAACGGTTGAAGAAGAGTTCAGCAAGATCTAGCACCCCCCCCGGAAAGTAGAGTTCAGCTATAGAGGTCTAGAAAGTGCTAAATGTGACAAGTTAATGGTTTCGCCAAGTGACTACGTGCACCATTGGATCTCCCAAGTTCATGGATCGCATTTCCGTGCATTTCCCCAAGCCATTTCAAGCCCAGTGAGTCCAACTCTGTCCTGGTAGACATCCCGCAGCTTCTGCAGGTTCTCCTGGTTTATTCGGTGGCGAAACGAGTCTCCATGACAGGCTGGTGCAGAAGAGGCGGGGCTTGGCCAAGCCAAGCATATATTTTGTCGCAGGGGGGGACCAGCAGATTTGGAGCACCTCCTCCAGTCACACTGGATTCGTCAATGGACATTCCAACCCCGCCAAAACAGAAGAGGCGAATCAAGGTCACAACGGTGCCATAGTTCCGGACGATGGAAGGATGGGTTCCTCTCCTCTCCTCCCCAGAGACGTCCAGATCATCCGCCCACCGACCTACGGTTGGTTTCGACGTCCAGATATCACTCGCCCCCGATTCTCCTCGGAGGTGTCCCAGTACCCCTTGGCATTGGCCTCCAAAAAGGTTTGTACCTGGCATCCCCACGACGTACCGTGTGATGGCAGGTTTCGCGGTGAAACGCGCGTGAAACGCTGTGGTGAAACGCGGTGGGCGGCCTGGTGGGCGTCAAAGAACGACGGAAATGGATGGAAATAGCAACAAATATCAACCAAGAGTCACACAAGGGTGCTTTTTAGTCCCTAAGTGAGTGCATAATGGGCACCCCTATCCTCCATTGGGCACCCCTTTGTGACTCCTGCAACAAATGTTTAAGTGATGGTTAAATGTAAATGAATCAAATGATGTTAAATGATCTTAAATGGTCTCTCCATGTCTCTTCAAATGAGGCACATCATGTTGTTTCTAGCCGCGGTACTGTAGTGCCCCAACCTTCCTGGTGGTCTGGGCGGTGGTTCTGCTGTTTTCACCTGGTGGTCTTTCGTCAAAGCTGCTGCCTGTGGTCCCAAGAGGCACCATGTCTCGGAGCGCATCAGGATTGGCCTGCAGCATCCTGTCGCACCCGGGGCGCGTACCGGTTCGGCGAGTCGAAACATGTAGAGTAACACCTGGGGGGGTCATTGGTGATGCACCTGGCTGATTGTAGCCCCAAATGAAGGAATCTCCAACCTATCAGCTATTTGCGATCTTCTTCGTAAGCTGCGGATACGAGTACGTATTGTTTGGGGCATCATTTTGGAGAGGACCATTGAAATCACAAAAATGTATAAGGCGAACGGAAACACGTTTCCACAAGGCAAGGCGTAGGAGGCTTTCCTACTCCGCTTCGCATTTACGAAACCCAAACTTTCCTGATCTTTCCTGTCCTTACACCAAATGCCCCATGTCCAATATGATCGGTGTTGTGTCGACAAAGGTCTTAGATTGTCCCTTACTGGAGCTAAGAATACTAGCCGTGAAATCTTCAACATATTTTCCCGGATCAATTCATGTTCCCATCACTCTTGCAAAAAGTTCGTGTGACCAGGAAATCCATGCGTACTTCCTTTCAATGAGCTGTTGTTGCGCGAGATCCCGCCTGTTCTTGATTTCTTCATCCTGGATGTAGGTCCTTGGTATCACGCAGTGGAAACCGCCGCGGTGGAAGCCCGCCGCGGAGGAAACCGACCAATCCTCCCGTGAAGCGATCGATGTCTTTTCAGCTCTTTCGAGTTGAAAGATAATGGATGTTGATTCAGCTTACAACACCCAAACACGACACATGGGACTGCCATGGACTGCCGATCAGGCCAGGGGTGGTGAAAGGGGGGTCAACGTAGGCCACATGGAGTGTTTGCCATATGACATACATGGAGTGTTTAGGACAAGAAGTTGAGCTCACCATGGGCGCAGTCCAATGAGGAATATGTAGCTGTTTGAAACAGGCATCGAAAAAGAAAGAAAACGTCTCCAACTCTTCTGGGGAGGTCAAGTCGAAAGAAAGTGCCCTGGAACGCCAATGGCCCAACCATCAAAGATCTGCCATAGTAGGGATCCACCAACGTAGGATCCCCATGGGTTTTTATCCCGTCAACAAATGTTTTGTTCTTTTCTTGCCAGGTTACGTGTTGCAGTCCTCGTAGACAAAGTTGTCCACCTGAAAGAAGAGTGAGAGAGTTGTCCACCACAAATCAAACAAACACAATTCCTGACGCCATTCTTTAAGGCTGTACTATATATTTTAATGTATAGACTCGTGATTAGTGCGACCTCCCCACTAGTCGAATCCACGAGACTCCTGATTACTGATCGATTCTGGAAAGATCATGAGGAAATCAAAAGGAATCAACAGGAAATCATAAGGAATCAACTGACATCAAAGTGAATCAAAAGGAATCAAAAGGACATCAAAAGGAAACCAAAAGGAATCAAAAGGAATCAACCGGAAATCAACAGGAACTCAAAAGGAATCAAAGGAAATCAAAGTGAATCAAAAGGAATCACAAGGACATCAGAAGGATTTAACAGGAAACCAAAAGGAAATCAAAAGGAATCACAAGGAAATCAAAAGGAACCAACAGGAATCAACGGGAAATCAACAGGAATCAAAAGGAAACAAAAGGACATCAAAAGGAATCAAAAGGGTTTTACGTATATAAATAATATCAAAACGGTGTCAAAATAAAGAAAAATTAGATCTAAACAAACAACGCGCAAACATTATTGTAGGGGGTGATATTAATCAAAATTTCTAGTGTACTGGGCTACCCTCGTTGTGGAATAGATGTTTGCAATATTTTAAAGTAAGTTATATAAACCATAATAATTAAATACTTTCAACATAATCAATAGAGATCAAAACGAATCCAAAGGAAATCAATAGAAATCAAAAGGTTTTAAAGTAAATCAAAACGGATAAAAGTGCAGCAACAAACATAATAGACATTGTTGTAGGGGATTACATTATTGTAGGGGATTGTACTATTGTAACACTTAGGAAGACAAACAAAGTTTAATTCACGATGAAAACCATAGACATTATTGCAGGAGACGCTAATCAAATAGTAAATTATATCTGAACTGTGCAAAAAATAAAAACACAAACAAAACACACATAAACATAAACAACATAGTTGTAGTTGTATCTTAAACGAAAGTTATTATATTGTTTTTAACAAATGGTGCACACATTGATCACAGGGGGGTTATTAATCGAACAAAAAAACGGTGCAAACATGTGCAAACATTAATATGGGGGGGTCACTATCAGCATTGAACATGACCCCCAAGTATAGTAGTAGATATTATATATATAGAAAAGTATAGAAAAGTAGATCTCCACTCAGAATATATTGGAAAGCGTGCCAGTAGCACTATCTATTTGGGAACCACTAGAATCACATGTATTTTTTTCACCTTTGCTCCCCACATCTTCTGACCTTCTGGTGGATTATGTGTGACCTTCCTGCCGACATCTTCCTATGACGCCGACATAAATGGGCATGATGATGGCAACCATCCAGAATATTGTGGAAAGGGCATGACTTTTGTTGGATATTCTCAGCAAATCTGCGAGAGTATCTGCGAGGCAGAACCCTTCCATCTTCATCAAGACCCAAAAAACAATCAAAAGGCCAGCTATTTTTATAAGTAACATTATTTAAAAACATAACTTCCCAATACTTCCCAAACACTCTCCATTATGATTCCTCAAACCGACGCAACTGATCGGCAAATATGCCAGTTCCAAACATCTCGTGGTATTTGGATCCCCCAAATCATCCCCCAAATTCTCCAACCTCCCAGAAAGCTCCTGCTAAACGTGTTTTGTTTTTCCAACACCAATGCTCCACGCCCCGCTCGCTCGTTCTGCTCCACGCTCGCTTCTTCGTGCTCAGGACGGGACGGCGTCTGCAGTGGTGCTCCAGCCGAAGGTGAAGCGCATGCGCTTGGAGATCTCTCGAACGCCCTCGTAGCCGCCGTTGAGGTTGGACTCGGAGGACGTGGCGGCATGCGGCCGCTCCGCGGCCGCGGGCGTGGAGGTGATGCCGGTGGTTGGACGAGGCTCAGGGATGGTGAAAACGTCGTGGATGTCTAAACAACCAGCGGTGGCACTTTGGGATTTGCGCGAGTACTATTGAGTTATGAGATAAGATTATGAGATACAAGAGATGAGTCATTACATTTGTTGATATTTTGGGCCATGTTGCTGTCACACGCTGCTACACCCTGTCAGACCCAGCCTCGTAGAACTTGGGGTTCAGGAGTTTGGTGCGGCTATCCAAACGCACCTGGCCCCATGGTCATGTGGAGCTCAGTCACAGACTCAAACCTGGGTTGGGTGGCATCTGTCTTCACCTCTGGACCGCCCTGCCTTCTGGGAAGCAAAACACCTTAAACCCATGCTGGATTCAATCTTGAACATTCAACATGTCCAGTTCAGGTCCTGTTGAGAATCTTCCAAGATCTAAAAAGGCTCTTGATCCATCTGAACTGCCCACTCTCTTGCCAAAACCGATGGCCTCCGGACTCTCGGCCATGCAGCGACTCGGTCGTCCGACCTTCCGACCTTCCGCCCTTCCGCGACCGCGATGGTTGCCCCGCGCGATGAGAGGCGCCTGGGCGGAGAGTGATCTGACCTGAGCGTTGGCCGTGGTGGTGTCCGCGATCAGCGACGCAGGCTTCTTGCCGTCCTGGCCGCGATCCGCGGTCTCCGCGATGCGGAGGGACCGATGGGCGACTGGCTGGGTGGATCGAAGAGTCCAGACGAGGACAGGGAACAACCGGAGGACGGGGAACACCGGAGGCGGCCAGACCGCGAAGCGGAGAAAAAAACACATTGGAGATGAACTTGAAAGAAATTGGACAAAAAACATCAACTTAACTTGGAGGTGAAGAAAGGTGTAGGAATCCAGAACTCTTGTCTGACAAGATCTGACAAGAGTCAATGTCAATATGACATTCTGCAAATGGTTTACAGTGTTACAATGTTTTGCCAATCATTCCTTATTGCCGAACATGTGTATCTATGTTTTCCCGACGATTCGAGGGCCATAGGCTCCACGCCCCAGGTGCCGGTGAGCAACATTGAGCCACCAGGGCGAGATATGGCACGATGCCACCAACTCAATGACTCAAAAGGGTCGGGTCGGGCACCAGCATCTGGCAGCATGGAACCTGCAAGCCTGTATATAATGGATTCGTTGATCCATTGGTGCTTGAGAGTTGTCCATTCGAAAGGGCATCTTTGGCAGGCCAATCGTGGCACCTCAACTCCATCTCGCCAGAACGCCCAGGAATCAGGACCCGGACTGAGGGAGTCCGATGATGTACTCTTGATAAAACCATGATTCAACAAACAGCGCAAACAGGCATCTTCAGAGGTTTTGGGAGTCCATGTCTGTCTGGGGTTCAAGAGATGTCAAAACATGATAAAAAACCCAGGCCTCTTCAAAGGTTTTGGGATTCCATGTCTGGGGTTTATGAATCATCATGAATCATTATTAGTCATGGTCAAGATTGGTCAAGAGTCCTACATGATGCAACACTTGAGTCACCACGGTGAGTACCACGCCTTCCGAAGGTTGGACACCACCTTCGTGGGGTCGTTGTCGAAGTAGTGAGAGACATCCGTCAAGGAGATCTCGCTGCTATCCAAGTTCTGGAAGGTCACATCCACCTGTGCCACAAACAGGAGTGACACCACAGCCAACGTGGCCTGGCCCGATCATAGATGATCATAGGTGTTGAACCGGGGTGGTGAAATCCTCTGATTCTGGGTGGGACTTGAACATTCTTGCAATATTTGTACAGTGGCTAGGTTTCAGGGTTGACGAAAGGACATGCGCATACGCGCGCCATATGCGTGAAGCCAGCGGGTGTGAACGAAAGCTAGCCACTGCAAAGCAGCGACTCCAGCTAGCTGAGGCTAGCTTTCATGATCAGCTGGTGAGTAGGTAAGGCAATCTCATGAGCCACCATAGGGATTCTCTTTTGATAAAAAGATCCATTGTAATTAAGTAATTGCAATCGAGTTTGGCAGCAGCAGCAGCAGCAAAGCAGCAAGCAGCAAAGCACCAAGCAGCCGGAGCAGCAGCAGCAACCCCTCACCTGCAAGCCTCTCAACTGGGAGCCGCTCAACTGGAAGCCCCTCAACTGGAAGAAACTCAACTGGAAGGCATGCAACTGGAAGGCGTTCAACTGGAGGCCGTTCAACTAGAAGCTGCTCAACTAAAAGCCGCTGAACTGAAAGCCGGTCAACTGGGAGAAAGGCGCGCAACTGGAAGCCGCTCAACTGCAATCAAATGGAAGCCGCTCAACTCAAAGGCATTCAACTGGAAAGCGCTCAACTGGAAGTCAACTGGAAGACATTCAACTAGAAAGCGCTCAACTCGTAGCCACTCAACTGAGTAACTGACAGCCGCTCAACTGGAAACCGCTAAAATGCAAGGCGCTCAATTGGAACCCCCTCACCTGCAAGATCCTGCAAGCCGCTCAACTAGAAGAAACTCAACTGGAAAGCGTGCAACTGGAAGCCACTCAATTGAAAGCCTCTCAACTGGGAGCCGCTAACCGGAACCCTCTCAACTGGAAGCCGCTCAACTGGAAGCTGCTCAACTGGATCCCCGCTCAACTGGAGGCCGCTCAACATGTTTTTGAGAGCTTGGATCTTACACAGTGCCCGATAGCGGCCCAACCTCGGCACTCACTTTCCCGTGGTCCAACAAACATTTAGCAACCAGGTAACCAGGCCGGGTGAAACCCAAACCCTGCATCTTGGTCGATTCTGGGACTGTCCCCTCCACTGGAAGGGTACTATTGGGTCCTCCAAGAGAAAACCCCCGACATTCCAGCAGAGGTTGAAGAACCCTATAGACTATCCTATAGGTACCCTTTTAGGGTCCTATAAGGTCAATGTTGGTTCTGGGACAGCATCCTGTGGACGAAGTGGGGAACCAAAACGGTGATGAAGGTGGTCCTGTGAACCGCCTTGGCCCTGCAAAGGGCCCCAAACTCAGGCGGTGATGTGCTGCCCCGGAGGTTGGTGCTTCATAGATAAAGCAAGCAGTTAACAGTTATGTGATGGCAAAGATTGTAGTTGGTCTGCCCTGCAGTCTATCTGAGTTCGCTCCATTTGTCAGACAGGACGGTTTGCTATATAATGCATTACAATGCATGCTTGTACAAACCCAAGGTCGATACGATGCTAATACAAACACTGGCCATGATCTATCTATACTTGTGCCACTGCACAAGATAACTTCCTGCGATTTGGTTTGACAAAACAATTCACAGAAAACAACACCAATAAAAACACATAAAACATAAACATAAGAACGGTATATAGACATCTATGACGGCCAGTTGTATGATGCACCCATCACCCAGCCCGCCCTTGCCTTGCTGAGGGCAGACTTGAAAAGCCCGGAGGCTTCCTGGCGCGCGCGCGGGCAATGCGGCGCGCAACGCTCGGATAGACGCGCTCGGGCGTCTGACGGGTGGTTTTGCCATGTGTTCTACACTCGGACCAAAATTTGTGCACTTCCTTCCTTCCAAAAGGGGTACATTCCCGCATTTCCCTGATGGGATTTTGCTTGATAGAAGAACAGCGAACAAGCAAACAGCGCTTTCTGCAATCGAACAGTCCAATTGGTCCATGAAATTTCCCAAGCACACACCCGCACTCTCACCACCAGTGGCCCCTCGAAAGGCTTGACAACAGCGAGTTCCAATTCCGAATTCCCTTTATTCTTATGGACACTGAATTGGACGTCCTCATTTCTTCTCATTTACTTCTCTATCGCACGTACACGTGTCGCATGGCCGGTGCCGGTCCGGGCCATCGGACCCGTCGCCTGCAGTTCTCCGGGGGCGTCGGAGCTCAAGGCGAAGCCCTTGCGGGTCACAAACTGCTCCTGGCGACGCGACGTCCTGTGACGAGGGACCGACCAAATGGAACTGGTCCATCCGACCGCGACCAAGGCTGCCGAGCCCTGACACGACCAAATGGAACTGGTATGAACTGGTATTTGTTTTCCTGCAAGCACTTGCATGTCTCATGCACCAAACACCAGCAGACGTGGTTTCGGCCGTCCGGGAAGTGGTACTTGGACCCTGGTTTGGCAGGATTTTGGTTCGCTGAACACGAAGTCAACACATGTCAACACGACAAGAATGTGACGTTCGAATGAGGCGAACACAGGTCCAGCCCCCAAAACCTGTGACTATAAACCGGAACACTTTGAAGCGCATACGATCGTACCTTGAGTCTCCAAAGACCTTGTTTTTCTGCGTTTTTGTTTCGGATATTTTTGCGTTTTTGCTCGAAAAACGCGTTTTTAGAGATGAGGACTCAAAAAAAGGTGCAGAGTGAATCTTCATCCGGACGCGTCCGGCACGGACGCTTAAAGACGCCTTTTGGACGCAAAAAGACGTGTTTTGGACGCCGAAAAAGGGTCTCAGGACACTGTCTAAGGAGGATCTGACAGGGCACAAACAAAAAAGGAACATTTCGTAATATATGCAAAAAAAGAGTGCTTTTTTTCAAAAACCTCTTTTTCTTGGAAAGGCAAATTAAAAAGGGTCATTGGAGACTCAAGGTATACGCATTGGGGAAATAAGCCCAATCCCTCCTGGCATCTCCCCCAATCCTATCCGCGAGTCTTTGTGAACACCGATGGTGTCGGCACCTGCAGCTGATCTTCGTCCACGTTGGCGCCGTTCTCGATGGCGATACCCACGTTAGCAGAGTACGACCCAGCGGCGTTGGAGAAGACACGCGTGGCCGCCTGCCACAACGAGATATGAGGACACGAGCATACCTTGCGATAGAGTTGGGAGCCTCTAAGCTACTAGGATACTAGGAGCATTTCGGGCATCGCTACGAACGGAGCAAGGACGCGAACCGAACGGGGCGCTCCTGGCCAGACGACCTATAGGAACAAGAAGCTACTAGCAAACCATGGTCGAAAAGCTTATTCCGACTTGCTCGCGGTTTTGGAGCTGTTCTCCTCACGATGTAAACTGAGGTCAATGACAGTAGCGAGACATCAAACATGGAGACATTGAAGTTTTGAAGGGCACAACTTCTTGTGTGCATGACTCTGCAATTGGTTACAGGATCTGCAGGACATGTACAAACATTATATTAAACATCAACAGCTGAACACAACATGTGCTCTTCCACCAACCGCTCTCAAGCTGTGCTCTCCTCACCGGTCACAGGCACGCCTGTCTCAAGGAGATGTTCAGCTCCTCGGCCTGGCGAGCCCCGTTCGGTTCGCGTCCGATCGCTCCGTGTAGTTAGCGATGCCAGGAGCCCCTAGCAGGAATGAAGAAACATCACACCAATCCAACTGAGTTTCTATGGTCATGGTATTAGGTATTCATGGTATCTGATCGCATGCTCATGGATGCTCATGGTATATATTATAGTTCTGTCGTGGTATGTCATGGTCAATCCACGGGGTGCATCTTCCCAGTCCAAGATGCTATGTAGAACGTATCACGGGAGCTTCTTTCCAGTCTTTTCACGTCACAGGATGCAAGGCCACGCTGACCGCATTCGTTTGGGTTCCGGTTTCCCCGCACCGATGGACGCGTGCAAAAGAACACCCAAATCGGTCGGAGGATGACGGGTCTCCCCATCGAAGCCCACGGGTCTCCCCATCCAAAGCTCAGATCCAAACCACGAAGCACACAACTTGGTGGGTTCACCTTTCCCATCCTTTGGCGCTTTTACCTTTTTCCATCACTTTCCACCTCCCCGTGCAAAACACTCCCCGGCGCCTGCTCCATCGCGTGCTTCCGCACAAAGTTCTGCTCCAGCGGCTCGTCCGCTTCGGCCGCGGCCTTCAGCAATCTGAAGGCGGGTTTCTCCGTTTATATATAAATATATATATATATAAATATGATGGAGTGTCTGGGTATGAAGACCGACCACTTGGGGGTGGTTTCAGAAAATGTTGGGCATTCTTTTCCATAGAGCGTCTGGGGTGCTAGTTTTACTGAGTCGAAGCAAAAGCATATAAGAAAATCAGCCAAGCATGCTACTGCCATATCATGCTTTACCTAAACCCTGTTCACCCGCGTTCAACCCCTGTAGCCTTTCGTCCCGGCCACTGTGACCACCCCCACTCTCTCGTGCTCCACCGTTCGTGACGTGGCAGTCTTCTCGCGGAACCGCCCGAACTGCCTTGATGGCGCGGTCCAAGAGGTTCATCTGGTTGATGAACAAGTCACGGAAGACACCCGAGCAGTTGCACACCACCTGCGGCGAGCGCGTCAAGGAGCGTAGCCGCTTCTTCCATTGGGATCCATGGAGGGTATTGGTCTATGAAACGACGAATTGTAGTGGGGTCGAATTGGTCTAGAGTCTAGGTTCCCCCAGTTAACCAACCACGTGGATAGGCCAGCAGAAACCCAGTAGAACACAAGAAGTTATATACTCAAGGCATGTTTATTGTTACATTGGCGTGCTGGAGGCCTGTGTGTATATATACTTATATGTGTGTACTTATATATATATACTTATATGTTGAATTAAACAATGCAGGTGTAGACCCTCAAACACCACAATGCGGTCTTCCCTGACTAAGTGAAACAGGTTTAACTCTCAATGCATTGGTAAAACCATGTCTCAATGTCTTGCTAAAACCATACTCATCAACCATAGTGGCTTCTATCCCACCATGTCCCGGTCGTGTCCCATGCCGACCCCACCCCATGATCCCCATGGCCCTCTGGGACACATGTTCAACCCCCCGAGGCCCTCTTCGCCAAGTGGCATCCACGCGTGGCCTGCCCAGCTCCTCCAAGGGGATCAACTCCACCTGACGGGCAAGTTCCGCTCACTGCTCACTGAGGCCTTGGAACTGCCTTGTTCCGCGAACCCGTCACCGGGGGGTTGGGTTCAAGTGCAGTGCAACATCTTGAGTCTTGAACGTATGCAGAAACAACAAAAAATGAATCCAGAGAGTGTTGCCATTGTTTGAAGCCCTACGTTGTCTGCAAAAAACAACCAGTGGAAGAGCAAATTTGATGGTTTGTTCGTCTTACCAACACACTCACTTGACGAAATCAATGCGGATAGGTTGATTTCCAGCGCAAAAGCAACGCGCATTTGACATGATTCCATATGCAAGTATGATTCGACATCGGATATCGTGAGGGATATATAGTTTCTAGATGTTTCTAGTGTATCCAAAACGAAAGAAACACATCTATCTGACCTATCTGGGTGACACGGATCTGATCTGGGTGACACATCTGGCACTGCCCGAAGGCAGTGCCAGGCGCCCACGGAATTCCGTGGCTCCGTGGTAGATTGGTCTGTGGTTCCAAATGGAAGAGTTTACTCAAGATCTCACTGCTGGCAAGGGTCAACACCAAACAAACATCTTGCAAATCCTATAACTTATCAAAAAGTAGATTCTTAGATCTGTGTATATATGCTTCCAAATGTGAGCAATGTACAGCAAAAGTCACGATACGATGCAACGAGCGATCGGACCCAGGCTGCCGCACAAGTTTCCTCTCACACTTGAGCCAAACGAAGTTTGTGTTTGACTTCCGTCTCTGATGTCTATACAGCAGTGCTTTCACTCAAGGTTTCGTGTAACGGTATGGCATTGTTGCCACTGCTATTCCAGAATGCTATTGCAAACTGCAATGCAATGCTTACACACAGCATCAATTTCCAACGCTACCAAGCAAGGGGAAAAGCTGGTAGCCAACGCTATATCTCTCACATGTTATAAACCATGGTTCTAACCGAGGGTGGTTTTCTCCCCCCTCTGGAGCAAGGAACAAGTGTTCGGTGCTCAAGCTCAGACATCCCTCGGCTCAAGCTCCGTTCACGAGTCTTACGACATGGCATGTGAGACATTCTTCATCCATGGCTGACAGCAGCAACGCGCCTCAAAGTGCGCCCATCTGCCTTACCTCAGCTTCTGCATTTGGTGCCATTGTGTATGGCGGAATGCGTCTCGCCTTCTTTGCCTTTCGTTTCTTCTTGTACGAAGTGGTAGCCACGGTCGGGTTCGGAGAGGGCTCGAGGGCGTGGGGTTCCATGCTCGCGACCTTCAACCCGGTTTGTGTTGTTCTGACCACCTCATAGCCTGCTAGCTGCACTTGGATGTTGTACAAAGCCAACGGCCAGTGTGGAGCTTCTAGCTGCTTGGTAAAAATGTCTGCTTTCTGCTCCTTCGTGCCTACGATCATCAATTCGACGTCTGGCCTATCCAGCTGCTCTTTTATAGAGCTGAGGTTGACCTTGTGCGTCCTTTTCAGATGACGAAGTTTCTTTGAATACCCTGCGGCACAAACCTTGGCACATGCTTCATTATCCTCCCTAATGCGCAGCAAGACCTGGCGTTGAAAAATGGCCGAGAAGAGCTCCGCCAATGGGATTCCCTCCTCAAATAACACATATGCCAACGCTACCGTTTCCGCTTCGGTTGTGCTCCTTGATGTAGATGTTTGTTTCTTACTGCACCAGGCAACTGGAAACGAAGTTGCCGGGCCGGACAGCTGCAGCCATCCTCCTGTGGTGCTCTTTGTGTCTTCCTCGTCTCCGCAGTAGTCCGCGTCGACGAACATTTCTACAAACAAATCATCCATGGAGTCTCGAACATGTCCTAGCAAGAGCGCCTCCTGAGTGCTATTCAAGTAGCAGATGGCCTTGTGCAGGTACACATCGCAAGCTAGCGTCCAAGCGTGCACGCGACTAGCCAACCAAGTAGTCACCTTCAAGACATCCGGCCTGGCCAGCCTTGCGATCCACATCAACCGCATGAGTATGCCACATGCGATGTCCGCCAACTCACCACGCACCTCATCGTCTGCTGAGGTCTTCGTGACAAAGGGACAAGTGGCCTCCTTCAACTTGGAACAACCGATGGTCTTGCAGTATTCTTCTATTGTCGCCTGTGCGTATGCCCTCATGTCAAAAGCAAAACACTCTTGGTTGTCAACCTTCACGATGGAGTGGTGCCTTCCTAGGAACCTGCCAAGCTGTCCGACATCCTCTATCTGTACAAGCTCTGCCAAGTCTGCCCAGAAGCGGTCGTGTTGTCCACTAGGGCCCGACAACAACAGATCGTCGACGTAGACCACAAGCGCCAAACCACCATACGACGGGAAAGTGAACACGCTAGCGTACTCAGGGACAGCTATTGCGCCCATCAACTGCAGTTGCTTCTCCAAGTGAGCCTGCCAATGGCTGCCGGCCTCTGGATGGCCGTACAACGACTTCTTCAGCAATATCACTGGTCTGCGAAAGCGGGGTTTGCCTGAAGCATAGTACCAGCTCTCTGGCCATAGTTCCTGAGGTAGCCTCACCCCAGTGCGACACAGGCTTTTCAAGTCCGACTGTAGATACGCCTTAATGGCGTCTGCCGATGTTGCGCAGTTGCCCTTGATCATTCCGAAAGAGATGATGGCGTTTGCAGCGACTATGCTTGCTGGACTTGCTGCAAGCGTCTGATAGAATGCGGCACGACCGTCAGCGGTTTTGGCGTTGTCTCCTCTAAAGCATACCCTGCCTTTCAACGAGCGGAACGAGCTATCCAATTCCATGTTCTTTTCAGAACAGATAGCCAACAGGTCAGCCAAATGGATGGTCTCTCCTGCCTCGAGTGCGTCACGTCTCACCGCTGCCTCCTCCGCAACCGTCTCAAGGTCCCATGTTCCCATGGAACCTACTCCACGAAATTCCTTCCTGATCGCTTCCAAAGCGTCAGGACGGGCCAGCACCTCGCTCCTGCCAAGCTGTCGAGTGACCAATGCGTAAACTCCTGCCGACAAATCTTCCTCCTCTGGGTGGCCTTCTGGAGAATACTCCGGGCCTTCAACCGGCGGTGGTTCAACCCATGCCGAAGACGACGACGAGGATGTAGTACGAGGGCCTGGTTCGGCCTTTGGCATAGGAGTGAGAGCCGGAGTGCGCGGAACTGGGTCTCCGGTAGCGCGCCTGCCTCTCTTGGGTACAAGCCATCAAAGCGCTCACGACATGCCTTGCTGTGGCGGTAGTGTCCGCCAGAACAACCAGAGCAACCCTTGGTAAAACCATGCTCAAGCAGTCTTGCATACGTGATGTAGGCGTGCCTTGGCGGTGTTGGGCGATCCTCAACCGGGTACGCGTCAATCACCACATCATACGGAAGAACTCCGGATTCCAACGACTTGTTGTACTCAGCCTTCCGAAGCTCTGCGTCAGCGTCAGTCATGCTAAACAAAGCCTGCCGTGCTGCAACTGCCAGTGGGAACTGGATGTGCTCAAGGGGTGGAAAGAAAACCTCTTTCACATACATGTCACGTGGGCTCCAGTGAAGGTGTGCCCTGTTCCTCACATTCTCATAGTCCAGAACCTGAACTACCTCTCTGTAGCGAAGCCCTGCATCAACACGCCAGCCAACAAACAAGCCAGGTTTCGTGGTCGGCTCAGCCATGCCGTCGCCCTTCGCTCGATAAAACACAAGGGAACCGAGGGGGTACTTGGGACCAGGAAACTCACTGCCTGTTGCAACATGCCAACGCGACTTGCCCTGTTTGAGCGCCTCAACATCGGTGCCTTTCTCATAATCTCTAACCATGCATGGAGTCCAAAATGCGCGTGCCTTTGCAGCAAACACAACGGACAACGGCCAAAGCTTCTTGTGGAAACCAGCCTGCAAATGGGCCGGGCGACGCAATTCTTTTATGGCCCGTATTTCACGCTCGGTGTGGGCATTGTGTGGCCATGACCTTGGGACAGATGGAGCGATGTTCCAGCATAGCCTTGCCGCCGCCTTCGTTAACTCGGTGGCCGCATCAGATTTAAACACCACATTGGGATCACCGTTCAACCTGTGGCCACCGAAGTGTTTCAGTTCCTCGAAGACCGTGTCTTCGGACCTATCCCTTCCGGGATACACCAGGCTCACGCCTGAAAACCTGTCTAACACCACTAAGGCTGTCTTTTCCCCTTCATTTCCTTGAGATTCCTCAGACGGGAACATGTTGTCCGCTTCAATGAGATGACCGAAACCAGTCGGCCGTTCAAACACACGCTCTGCTTCTTCGGGTTCCTCACGATGCGACTTTGCGTACCGTTTGAGCATCCGGCCTCGAATGCAATGCTCGCAGAACGGGTTCTTCTTCTCATGAAGGGTCATGTGTTCAAGTGACGTGGCCTCTCTCTTCAGGCGTTCGTCTCGAGACTCAAGGGGCTCAAGCTCATGCTCCTCTGGGTCAGCAGGACACGCGAACGAATCAACAGATTCATAAACAACAGCCTCAAGCACGGCGCCTTCAAGGGGCTCGTTGGGGACGTGTTGAGAAACATGTTCACATGACTGCATGACAGGCATCGCCGGCACATCCCGGTAGACTATCTCCGGAAACAAAGCAGAGAAAACCAACTCACACATGTAAACGGGGTAGATGGCCGTGGTAGGGGTGTTGGAACCAACTATCTGTGCGTGCTCAAAACTATGGTCATGCTTACATCTCTTGTCAGCAAACGTGCGGGCCAACCGCTCGTTCGTGGTTGCAAGTCTCCACTTCTTCAAGAATGGGGTTCCGGCCTTGTCAACAAGACCTACAGCACATCCGTCAAAGTTCACCACCATCATGTCAATCTCACGAATGAGTTTGCACAAGGCGTTCTGACGCCATCCGAGCGCGTGTCTTGGCCACTCAAAATGAACATCTCCGCCTCCTGCCTTGACATGCCTAGCAAGTTCTACAAACCTATTCAACAATTTCAAGGACAACTCACGCGACTTCGCCAACTTCTTGCGGTATTGTTCACCATAGCGGTGAGCGTTCAAGTACTGCCATTGCGACCAAG